CCGAGAGGAACTTTGATGTCTAGATAAGACGAGCGCGGAGAAAGTGTCGGAAAGTGTAAGCGATCCGCTTCGATTCCTCGCTTTTGATTGAAAATATTTTTCGTGTTCATCTCGGTGTTTCGCGATGTAGATCATTGTTTCAATCGAGATCAAGGTAACTCCGGTTATGGAGAAGTTTATTCCGATGATATCTTGGCTTTTTAATTTACTTGTTATTTAACCAGTTAACTGTGGAACTTAGGAAAAACCTCTCGTTCGCGCAATAATATTGAAAAATGGAGCGTGTACTCGTCGAACGCAGGACGAATGCGCGTAGAGTATATTTTAATGGAAGATCAAAGCGAAACAGATGAATTACATGTTTATGTGAAAAAATCAAGAATTCATGAATTCGTGACAGCAGCCGGTAAAGTGTTAACCCTTTGAACTCGAGAGCCTTTCAGTCGCCGTTTGATTCGACCCAAGAGAATGATAAAACTTAAAATTCAATATTAAATTGTTATATCGAAGTAAAATAGTTCTGCCACTTAATTTATGCAAGATATCTCTTTCTGTTAATTGTAAGAAATATCATCGACGTTTCATCAGAAAATAATGAATATTCGTTAAGAAAAATATTCTCGAGTGCAAGGGTTAAAATATCGTATACTTCATTCCACATCCTGCCCAATGAATTTCATTCAAACATCGTAAACAAAGAAGCTCTCCGTTTCGCCCGTTGGTCACGTACAAAATTCATTCGCCGCCTATGGAACAGCACAGCAAACTATTCACCCGTGAATGACAATAACAGAAGAAACCGGAAAGATAACTTATCATCATATCCCAAGATAAATAACGAAACGAACGATCTCCAGTTCGGAAACAGGAAAATCCCAGGCACTTGCATCCGACGCGCGAATAAGTCGCCTGAAGATCCTTGCGATCATTCACGCCGTCGCAGCGCGTTGAAACGACTGACACGCGAACGGTTGAATATTTATAGATCTCCGAAGTCCGCCATGAATCTCCGAAGTCCCGGCAAACGACGCGTCCCCCGGAACATCATACTTCCTTGATCCCGGATCGCGCTCGCCCTCGGAAACCGGAAAAAAGGAGTAAAGGGCCATGAAACATTCGGACCGTCGAAACAGCGAAGCCTCGGAGGTCTCCTTCGGGAGAGGTCGTTGTAGTTTCGAAACGACCCCGGCTCTCTCCGGCCGAATATTTCTTGCTAGTCCGTGGGCCGCGTCGTTTCCGATTCAACGGCGGAGGTGTTCGGCGGGTCGGAAGGTCGGGGCGGGGACGGGCTCCATATCGCGGGCCGTGGGGTCGGGCTAATAATGCCGGCCGTGGGCGGGCGCGGGGGGACGGCGATAAATCGATTCCTCGGGGGAGAAGTTGAAACTGTCATCGTTTGTTCTAGATGGAGGAGAGGGCTGAATAATCGGCGGGCCGATCCCGGTGATTGCGAGTAGTACAGCCGGTCGTAAAGTCGGCCCTGAAGAATCCATAAACCGGGGTCTCCGGATCGGTGCCGCTGAATAAACGCGAGAAGCCGGCGGGCTGCGGGTCTTCTTGGTCAATTTCGAGCGCCGGCGCCCGGGATGGGGTGCGTTTTACGAGGCACGCGCCGGACCCGGAAAGGACCTCGTCTCGCGGCTGCTCGCTGTACTAAAGGCCCTTGAAGATCGGCGAGCTCTGAAGATCTTGGTCGATCGTCGACTATGCGGAGCTGCGATCGAGGAAGTCCGGGAAACTGGACGAGATAGAGCGTTCGCGGTCCGATGAATCGGTGATCTGATCTGGTTCGGAGGAGGACAGCTTCGGAGAGGACAAATGTAGCTGGGTTTGATACCGAGGACATCGAAATGGAGGGGAATTTGACCATGTGGACGGAGTCGAATTTGACCGCCATGCTGCACCAGGTCCCGTGTAATGATAGCTTCCTGGGGTGTTTAGAGGACTGTGGGCCTGGTTTGTTCGGATTCGATCATCTTTGCATGGTGGAGAGGGGCAGCTTCACGTCCTCCATGACGCTGCTCTGTCGGCCGTGCGATTATTCCTGCGACATGAACGTCTCGCTGGTACTCAGCGGCCTGGAGAGCATCGAGGGAGTGTTCCTGTCGAGGATACCGAGGTTCAGGGAGTGCAACGAGACTGCGTTCGGGAATCAGGTAAATTAGAGTAGGTGTACCGGGGATTGTTCCTGCGGCAAGCTCCGTTATTATAGAGATCCGGATAGATGTACGGTGCGTTACTCGCGCGAGCCTGCCGATGTGCATTAATTCTGTTATTATGGGACTGAGCGCGAGTGCGCGTTTCATCTTGCGCCTCTTCGTTTTTAACAGAACTACCGGGAATTTGAGAGGATTAACCCTTTGCACTCGGAAATTTCTCGATAGAAATATTTAACATTTTTTAACGAGGCGAAGACGATATTCTTTAAAATTCGAAGGGGAAACACGTGAGTCTTTGTACAATGCGTCGACGTGTAAAATATTAAAATGACAGCTTCTTTCTTTAACTTATGTACGATTTCTCGTTGAGTCAGTTTGAAAGAATGTCGTTGGTATTTCATTAAAAAATGTTGAGTATTTCTAATAAAAAACTTCTGGAGCGCAAAGGGTTAATAATTGCGGAACAGACAAATCGAAACTATAAAATTTGATACTTAATATTAAACTTCGTACAACGCATCAATTTGAGGAATATTCAAACAAAACAGCTTTGTCCCTCGATGTAAGTGTGATTTCTCGTCGAGTTAGTTTCGCGAAATATCCTCTCTATCTTATCAGACGTTAAAATATTTCTAATGCAAAACTTACGAGTGCAAAGGGTTAAGTCATAGACCACTCACGTGAGTAACGCACATATAACTATATTTCATCCAAAAATTTAGAATCGACTTAGAGTCTAGCTTGAATTTATGTACGAAATATTTATATAACGATAGAACAATAATCGGACACTACGAACGTCCATAAAATTAATCATATTTCACAACAATTTCACTCATCGAAGAACTCATGCCTTTTACGAAGCACTTTCTTAAACGGAGTACAAACGTTAGCGAGCCACTTGGAACGCGATTACCTCGACTTCCCAACGTTTAATTTGCCCCGTCATTTCCTCGGCGATTCGGTCCCACGGGTTCCCTGTCCCGTCGTCGACGGAAAAATCCCGCGACGACGTCGAGAACTCGCGAATTCGTTTACGCGGAAGATTAACATTCACAAGAACGAAGCTGTTGAACACGGGACTTACGTATCCGCGTCGTTCCGAGCGACGCAGTCGTCGCGGGAATGAAAATTCATTAATACAACCGGTACCACCGTCCACGCCCTTCCCGTTCCCGCGGGAATCGTCTTAATTAATGCGAGCCCCCGGATTCGAGCGAGCGAAACTCGGAGTTCGGAAGCCAACGAAAAAATTTCCCCGCGAATCGAACGGAACTTCGTCCGTGAAAGTTGCGCCGCGCGTCGCTCCTCGCCGGGAGGATGTTTATGCAAATTTCATTTTTACAGGCGACTCTTCAAGAAAGTAAAGTTCAGGGAAATTTTCGCTCGCCGCGGTAATAGTTCCCGCTGATAATGAGAATCAGAAACTCCATTAGATTCTATTGAGTCCCCGTGCATCGCTGATTCTCGGGGAATCGCATAATGATCCCGGAATGTGACTCATCGATCGAGTTAACTATTCTCAATTTTTTCTCGATTTTTCATCGATTTCGAGAGAAAACCCCGAGAAACTGCGGGTTCGTCGGAGGCATTTCCGTGATTACGTCGGCTTGTCCGAGCGATGCGTTTTTCGCCGAACTTCCGACGATCTCGTTACGTTCGCAGATCTTGGAATGCACGCCGACCAACTCGACGACGGAGGATCTCGCCGTCTCCTGCTCGCACAGGTCGAAACTCGGCTCGACGGCGAGGGGCCGCCGATTCGACTGGAGCTTCCTCTTCGTCGCGGTGTTCATCGTGGCGGGCGGCCTGGGCAACATACTGGTCTGCCTCGCGGTGGGACTCGACAGGAGGCTGCACAACGTCACGAATTACTTTCTCTTGTCCCTGGCCGTCGCCGATCTACTCGTCAGCTTGTTCGTGATGCCACTGGGCGCCATACAGGGATTCCTGGGTGAGTTCTTGGTCCCTAGTACGGTAGACGGTAGATTAATCGGGGTTACCGTGAGCTTTGCGAATACTTATTCAGAGTAATTTCGGTTAACCGGAATTTTTCGATGAGTTTTCAAACACTGATACCGTAAGACTTGAATTAATCGGGATTTCTGACTGAATTCTCGAATACTAATACAATTGACCTTAGATTAATCAAGATTTCTGGTGGACTTTTTAGATATTTATTCGCAGCAATTTCGGTTAACCGGTATTTTTTGATGAGTTTTCAAACACTGATACCGTAAGACTTGAATTAATCGGGATTTCTGACTGAATTCTCGAATACTAATACAATTGACCTTAGATTAATCAAGATTTCTGGTGGACTTTTTAGATATTTATTCAGAGTAATCTCGGTTAACCAGCATTTTTTGATGAGTTATTGAACATTGATACCGTAAAACTTGAATTAATCGGGATTTCTGACTGAATTCTCGAATACTAATACAGTTGACCTTAGATTAACACGTTGAATGCCGCACGATTTCATGGCGGAAAATGCACAAAATGGAAAAAATTAAATATTAAATCATCCGATTGAATTGCATTACTATAACCGTACATCCATCTAGCTGAACGTCACCGCATCAGATAGTATTATTTATAATATAGAAATATTTTTCGAGCGAACTGAAGTAAGTCGATTAATTGGGATTTCTGACTGAATTCTCGAATACTAATACAATTGACCATAGATTAATCAAGATTTCTGTGGGACTTTTTAGATACTAATTCAGAGTAATCTCTGTTAACCGGCATTTTTCGGTAAATTCTTGAACATTAATACACTAAGCCTTCGAATAACCGAGTCACAATTCGTCACGATCTAAATTAGTGAAAGTCTATTTCAATAGAATATCAATAATTTCGATTATCAGATAGTTTCCCAAAATCTGTACTATCAAACTTTACGAATATACTTTGAACAATTTCTCCTCAAGTATCTATTTCTCTAGGCAGTTAGTCGCCCAATTAAATCGGATAATTGAGACTCTACTGTAATTTGAGGAGGTTCTGAAATTAAATGGTAATAGGAGGAAGATGGGGGCAAAGGAATAGGGGAGCTTTTCGTCCGGGTTCTGTTATTTGACTCGTCAGTGAGGATTTCTAGCAGATCCCGGCTTGAGACGGTTTGACAGTGAGTTACGGTTTAGATAGAAATGTGTCGGAGACTGAGTAGAATCGAGGAAGGTGTTTAGCTTTTCGTAGTCCTCTAGAGATACTGCCGAATCCAATTTTCTCCCGAGTTGTTTTTTCCTTAAATTAAACTAAACTCAAGTTTAAATTTCAAAATCTATTTTCTTCTCACATTTCTAAAGTGCAAACATCACTACAATTTTCTCAGCTAAAATTAAATGTTATTTTACTATTATCAATCGTTAAACTTCAAGATAAATACGTCAAACGTAGAATTCTCCTTCTCCCCAATATAAACGATAAAATAATTCTATCGCAATTCAGAAGAATTCGTACTACAAAGGTTTAACCCTTTGCACTCGAAAGTTTTTCACTAGAAATATTCAACATTCTCCGATGAGATACAGACGATGTTCTTCGAAGCTAATTAACGAGGAAACATATATAAGTTAACACTTAGGCGACTAAAAAGAACTATAACTACAACCTCCTCCATTATCTTCAATTGAACTCATTCAATCAATTCGGTTAGAAACCGTGTTTTGTAGAAACAAGAATCGCATTCGATGAACTGCAAATAATCCGACTTCAAGACTTACTAAACAACAAAAGAAAAGATAAACAGAATAAAAGGCAATACGTTGCTAAGTGAAAAATGAGAGATCTCCCCATTCGGTTGGCTAAGTGTTAAGAAGGAAAGTTATTTTATTTCAATATTCCACATATCGATGCATCATGCAAAGCTTAATATTATATATAAGACTTTATAATTCTCAAATCAACTCAAGTGATGACTAAGAGTCACCTCTCGAGTGCAAAGGGATATTAAGCTTCGTATAATGCATCGAAACGTGAAGTATTGGAATAAAATGGCTTTGTTTCTTGATTTATGTATGTTCTCTCCTCGGTTCGTTTCAAATAACGTCTTACCGTAAACCGTTGAATATTTCCAGTGGAAAGTTTTCGAGTGCAAAGGATTAATAATTCCATCATTTCCCTACATCCTCACAGAAAGCAATCGAATAAACCTCGCTGGTGGCTCAATTTATTCCCGAGCAAACAGGGAAGTTTGCCAATACGTCTGCGTATGACTTACCGTCCCCACTTACTTCAAACGGAAACGCGGACGCGAGTCCGTGAATTCCGGAAGGCAACTTCCTCGAGAATCGAAGCCAGCGTATTAAAACTTTACTCCGCGCCGTCGGCTTGTTTGTTCCTCGCGCGGACCGCCGAGCTCAATACCCAATGAATAAAAATATAATATAATATTTTCGAATTCGCTCGGCGCCGGGGGGTTTCCGGTTAAAAGGAAATCGACGTTTCGGCGTCGAATATCCGACCGGCGCAAAAACACGGGCGCTCGGTCGACGCCTGGCTCTCGTCGGAAAATGAGCGACACCGTTCCCCGTTCGGCTCCGTCGGGATAAAACGAGAAAAAACCGCGACGGAAATCGGCGAAACAAAAACGCCCGAACGATCCGGCTGTTCCCAGTTTCTGGGCGGACCTTCAAAGGGGTCTGTTTACGCGGTCCCGAATTTGCATCGAACGCTCGGAGTTTCGGGACTGTATCGGATTGCGGCGTTCCCACCTTTCCTCGCTCGGTGTAACGGGAGTATCGCGCGGTTTGGATTAACGCCAGCTCCCCGGCGAACAAAAGAGGAGCGATCGGTCGGCGAAATTCAAGTAATTACCGGGCGTTGGCAAAGTTTCGCGACAACGCGGCGGATCCGATTGGCCGCGAAATTTTACGCCTAAACGGGGCACCGGTGATTGGGAATGACTCGAGCCTCGTTCCAAGAAACGCTATCGCGCTGCGGAAATAGGAATCGATACGTATTGCGCATCAGATTTTTACTTCGGGGATTAAAGGTTGGAATGATCGAGGGAGATTTCTAGATTTGTTACGAAGTAGTGGGAATATGTAGTTTAGTTGGTTGAAATATCGTTTTATTAATATTGAATCGAATATTGTATTTATTGCTATGAATATTCGAGATTTTGATCGATGGAATATAAATCAAATATTGTTCGTTATGATTAACATCTGAGATTTAGGAAGATTCAGATTTCTAAATCAATTGTTTATATTCATACTTATTTATTGCTATTGATACTAGGTTTACGGGACGCGTCAAATTGACGCATATTGGATTTTAGAAATATTTTGTAAATGTTTACGCCGATTTTGATTGATGCGATCACACTGACATGTACCCCAATTACCTACTATCGAATCTCCAGTTTCCGCAATCTAAATAAACGAGCATCGATTCTTTTAGGAATAATAGAATGAAGTGTACAATAAATGCCCGTAAACCTAGTGTTAATATCCGAAAGGTTCTCGAAACTTCAGAATTCTAAATCAAATATCACTTCCAAGAGTAAATTCTTTTCCACTAAACGATGGACGATAACAGTACAGACCCTATATCTGTGGTATCGATGGAAAATAATTGTTTCTCATTGATCAGATACAAGCGAATGAGTCCGGCGTTTCGACTAACTGGCTGATTCGTTGCCGGCGCTCAGGATTTAACCCTTTCGCGACAGCGCACCTGTACCATTCTTCGCCACTTTTCGCGACGGCGCGACTGACCATACTTTGTCGTCGTTCGAAGCGCAAGTGAACCATACTTCGCCACCAATGTATTTACAGCTTTACCTTGAGTTCGCTATTGAAATAAAATAATAATACAAAAAAACCAATAAGTAACTGCCGTATCTAGACGGCGTCAGCCGTTGCAAAGTAATAAACGACTGTCGTATATAATCGGCGTCAGCCTCTGTGGACCAAAAAGTGGCTGCCCTATGTACACGGCACCCGTCGCGAAAGGGTTAAATGTCTCTCAGGTCGCCGGCGCTCAATGTGTTGAAACAGCCCGTAGAATGCAATATCCTCCGGACGATAACGTGACAAACTTAGACGCCGCCCGAGGAAATCGTTCAGTCTTCCGAACGGCGATTCGCTGGTCGGTATTTGCGGGATTAATTCTCGAAAATGTCCGGTTTCGGATGGTTCTCGTTCCCGCGGCGGTGCGATGCGAGGAATTCAAATTTCTGGGGCCGAAGGGAAACTTCGGACGAGTCGCGGGGGGTAATTGCGCGGCCTCCGGACGCGGGGGCGCACTCAACTTGAATAAACTCGGCCCGGGATTCCCGGTGCAGGGTCGAGCGGCCTCTCCGCGGTCGAGCCCGGCTTTTAAACATTTTTCCCGGCCGCCCGCGGACCACCGGCAACTTTGACGGGGCTGGCAACGTAGGATTTTCCCCAGAGTGAAAGTGTGTCGGGACGAATGCTCGGCATAGGTCGTATCGGGTGTCGTAAATTAAAGAATGCGAAGAGTGGGACGAATGCTTGAGAAACCTTGAGTGAAGGAAACTCGCGCGAAAGAATGCGCGGGCTGAATGCATCGCCAAGGGTTTGCGAGATGTTGAGTTGCCAAAGAAAACGCGCTCGTGAGAGAAAGGAGAGAGTGGGAGCGAGGAAGAATCAGAAAGAAAAAGAGAAAGATAGAGAGAATGGAAGAAAAAACGAGAAAGTGAAAGAGAGGTTGAGATTTATAAGAGTGATTAACATAATTGGAAGGTACTTTGTAAGTCGCGTTCGTTAAGTTAACTACTTTCATTATATTTTCCTTCGTTTTCCCTTCGCTGGCAAACTCTTTTTGTTCATTGTGTAAGTTCCTTCGAGTTCGTTGCCCCCTTCCCGCGGTACCACGTGGGACTCCCCTAAAAATCATCCCGTAGTTTCCCGGAAGAACGGTGGAATTATAAAGCGGCGAACCCGATAAGTTGAGCGTCGACGGGGAAACTGGCCGGAG